CTGGAGTTTTTCAATATCTTAACAAGAAGCATAGCCACACAGGCATGGGTGGCCTGGATGTCAGCCAGGAGCAGGACGCAGAAGCAGCGATTCTCTGCTGGGCATGTGTGTTTTCGGATGATGGATGGGAGGTAACCAAAAACAAAAAGCCAAGAATATGGGTCAGGGCTGCCTCTGTCAAGCTGGCTGGAGAGTCTGAGCCCCCAGCCCGGGTGGGAACTTTCTCACCCTATACACTGGGAAAACATCGCTGAGTCCAGTAGCTGACCCTGGAATTAGACGCACAGCTCCTGCACGGCATGCCCTGCCCCGTGCTGGGATGCCCCCCAGGTGTGGTGGGCTGGCTCCTGGTAGGTGGCCCCGAGTAAAGGAAGGACCCAAGAGGGGTCTTGGAATGTCGTTAGCCAGGCCTCTCTCATTCCCAGCTGCTGCCCTTGTCACACAACAAGCTGGGCCCTGCCTGAAATAACTCACCCATCTTTTCCTAGAGGCTTCCCAGCCAGCACATCTGGATTCCCACGGAACGGCAGCAACTGACTCAGATCGGGCAGCTCTTACCAAGCCCCTCCCTGGAGCCGCCTCACCTCCCAAAGGGCACCTCTCTCTTGTTCTTCAAAAGTTAACAGCAACGACCCGCGGCAAACGGCACATGGCACACAGCACACGGCACACGGTACTGGCTTTGCATTGTGCTTTAATTGGAAAGCAAGGCAAGTGTGGGAGGGATTTGTTTGTATTCACGGCATCAATAATTTAACATGAAAAGAGAGAAAATAAAAGAATATGCAATCCACACATGCAAATCTGGCTGAAATTTATTACTTATGATAATAAAAAAAGATTTTAATTAGGCATCAACCATGCTATTTTAAGAAAGGAAAGGGGCATGGGACGTGATTCCTGTGTTCCCTACATGACAATCTTAAAAAGATAGAACTTGAGGAAGGAAATACATCAAAAAAATTAACAGGAGTTGTCTCTGGAGAGCCAACTTATGGATGATTTATTTTAATTTTCTTCTTTGTTTATTTCATGATATTTCAATATTTCCCTCTCTAATGAGCATTTTTTAGTTCTATAATAGAGACATGTTTTAAAATAAGAGATGACTCAGAACGGAAGTCTATTCATTAAAACATCCTATGCCTAGTTAAGATTGCTAACGTCACTACCTGCAATTCCTCTACAGAACTTTCGAAGGCAGAAGGAATAGCTCCACCTGGGGCCTGGTGGGCTCATCCGAGGTTGAATTCGCCTCTGCTCCTACAGTGAAGGCCTCTGACCCCGCAGAGACTGAGGCGCTCCCAGTCTGAGGTCTGGCTCCAGCGGGAGGAGGAGCTCCGTGGAGGGACTCCACGCGGTTTCTCTGGGATGGAGACGCTGCACCTGGACATGAAGGGACAGTGAGGGGTGCAGGCCCCCTCTGGCACCTGCACTCCACAATCTGAACACAATCCAGGCTGATGGAGGTGGTTTAAGACAGGAAACCACAGCCCCAGGGCTGCACGATGCAGGTGAGAACACGAGCCCCTTCCCCACAGGCTGCGTCCTGCAGGGTCCACGGAGCTCCTTCCTCTCCCCCTGCAGTGACTTGTCTGCAGACACCGTCTTCACCGACACGGACACGACGTGCACCCTGGGCTGCCTGGCTAGAGCTCTGCCCACGGCGTCAGCCCCTCCACTTCCGTCTGAAAGGGGCCGGCCGCGCATGTCACGCGAGACCAGTCCCGCGCGTGGATCTATACGAGGCAACTGCGCAAAGGGTCGTGAATCCCGCCGGCCAGGGAGGATCGTCTCCTGTGCAGAAGGAGGCGCGCTCAGAACACGGCAGAAGCTGGGAGCTCCCACCAGGCTGCGCCCAAGACACCTCCCGTCACGATTCACCAAACACCACGGCGTGGAAAGAAGAAAGTCCACGCTTCTGCGGAAAACACCGCGGCGCTGCCGGTCAATCCACACCCGGGACATCATTGCTACCAGGGCGGAGGGGGAACACAGGCAAAATAAAGTGCATCTCCTAAGAATTCCTGCAACCCGACAGCATTGCCCGATTCCATTTCCCAAATAGTCACCACTTTCTAAAAACGTCACGGAGGAGGATGCTGCCTAACATCTCAGGGGTCTGTCCATAAACTTGGCGTCATGTGGTCCACAGTCTCTGGAGCGTGGAAGGCGATCTTCTCTAATCCCGGGGCCATACTTTCTGGGACAGAAATGAGAGACCCCAGAAAGTCCCTGGACGCTCCCCAGGGGACTGAGGGGTGGTCCATGGCACTGCGTGTTCTGAGAGGGGGTCTCCCTAGAGGTGGGGAGCGGGGAGGCCGGGCATGGCACCCTCTGGGTTCAGAGCTCCTCACAGCCTGCGCCAGTGCAGAGCAGGATGGAAACAGTCCCGGGAGCAGAAGGTCCCAGCAGTGGAATTCCCCTCCACGTGGACCAGGCCTGCAGGAGATCCAGGCACTGACAGGTGGGGACATTTTAGAATCTTTTCAGGAAAAGATAAAGAAAGAAACAAGAGCAACAGGAGGCCAGAAGCAAGGGCTTCTACTGCAGACAGTGGTGCCGCTAGGCCTGGAGCTGAAGCTTCCCAGGAAGCCCCAGGCTCGGAAGCCTCCAGGCACAGGCAGCGTCGGGTGGCGGGGAGCCCCTCAGACTGTCCCTGTCCCGGTGGTCTCCAGCCCCCAACTGCCCCTCGCCCAGGGGTCACCTTTTCTTCCCCCATTCCTCTGTGGACACGCCTGCTGGCATCATGGAGATCTTCTTGGTGCTCAGAACACGACAGAGCTTCACTCAGTTTGAATGCATGAAAGTGTGACTTCTCACTGCCTCCCCAGCTGTGCTTGGGAGCTGAGAACATCTCCAGGAAGCCCACGGGCTTCCGGGTGGAGGAGGCAGGTTGCAGACGCGTGAGGCCCTGCGACTGAAGGACCTGGAAAGAAGCTCACGGGGGGGCCGTTGCTCATGTTGGGAGCTGTGGCCGGAGGGACACAAATGCTGCTTACCTAGGACTTCTCCCAAACAACAAGAGAAACACCTTGAAAACAAGTCAGGTTCAGGCCCCTGGTGCCACAGAACTGAGCCTTGGCAGAGCTCACACCGAACGCGGCTCAAACTCACGGCCCCCAACACCCGCTCCCTGTTCAGCAGAATTGTCTCCTTGGTAGAAATCCTGTCAAGAATTTTCCCACTGTTCCCATTAATCCCAGAGGCAAGCTCCCCCCGCTTCCCAGGCATATTTTTATGTAAACAAAGTGGTTAATTAGACAATTTGCTAAGCTGTTTAAAATGCATTTTGCTTTAAAAGAACAAGTAATCACAATATAAAAATCACAGCATTTCTAATATGTCAACTAATTCCTCCATCATATTTTTAGAAAAAATGGATTCACATAATTTATTAATATGCCTCTTCTAATTTCATTCATCAATAAGTAATTGCATCTTAACTCCCATTTGATAGATGGGAAAGATTGCAGAGCTAGGAAAACAGGAATTGTTGCACCCTTTGGGGGAAAATCAGGAAGCAAAGAGCCAGGTCGGGGCTCCGGCCATCAGGGGGATTCCGGAAAAGCTGCCGTCTGTGCGTGTTCCCCGCGGCCAGTCACAGAGCTCTCCTCACGAGCGTGGTTCTAGTCTATGAACGTGATCCGTAATTTTGATCAACGATTCAAATTATAAATATTAATCAAAAAGGAGAAGGAAGGCGAACTCCAGGCATTTGTTTGAGGCAATAAGCATCTGGCTGAAGTTGTCATTAGCCGGGTCATTGACAGTCCCACAGCGGCCGGCCGACCACACAGGTCAGCCGCGGTGGACACCAGGTTCCCCAGACCCAGGGCTGCCAGGAGCGGAGGAGCTCATTTGCAGCCGAATCCTCAGGATTCAGCCGTCAGCTGAAACCAGCCACCTCCACCAAGGTCAGGCCCACCCCGAGATGCTGGAAGAATGTGCACGCTCGCTGGGGCACCCTCCTCCTCCTCTCCTGCACAAAGAGCAGTGCAGCCGAACCCTCAGCACAGCAGAGCCACAGACAGATGCCGTGCACGCCCAGACCTGCTGGGCCACAGCCAGGCCTGGGCGGGGAAGGACGGGGACCCAGGCCTCAGGATGGGGAAGGTGGTGGAGGCCCTGCTCTGAGCCTTCTGAGCTGGAGGCCCCGGCTTGGAGGCCAGGCATGGCCCCACCTTTTGGGTAACACCTCCCTGCCCTGGGGACTGCCCCCAGCTTCTCCTGAACATGCCTGTCCCTGGAAGTACACCACATGGAATCTTCCAGAAGGCACCTGCTGAGAGAGGGAAGGGACGTCCATGGGTACTGCAGGGCTGAGAGCCATCAAGGGAGACAGGTGCAGCACATCAGCAATGCCAGTGATGCCGGAGCTGCCCGGACACCTGCTCAGGAGAGCGAGAACCCAGCTCGGCCCACGCCAGGGACCAAAGGCCCTGAGAAGTGGCCATGCTGGTGGCTGTGGTGTAAGGCAGGACACTGCCAGCTGACCTGCTCCCGGGGGCCCAGGAGACCCTGCACTGGCCACAGTGAAGAGTGGGCAGCAGCCTCCCTGAAGCTGGGGTGGCTGGGCAGTGTGGGCAGGGCTGGCAGCCAGGCGCCATCACAGAGCTGGGCCCCCCCTGGCGGAAGGGGGCCCTGACTGTCAGGAGGAAGGCAGGGCCGCTGTGGGGCTGAGCAGCAGACTGAGTGGTGTACAGGGGCCTGCCCCACAGAGGTGGGTGTGAAGGGCAGTAGCACCCAAGCCCCGGGGGCAGGAGAGATGGGCAGCAGCTACACCCACCCCACTAAGGTGGTCGAGAAAGAGGCTGGGGCCACAGGCAGCTGCCCAGCAACACCAGCATCCCATACCCAGCCTCCTCCCTGGGCCAGGTTCCAGATGCAGAATCCAGACAGGGGAGGGGAAGAAAGAACCGGAAACACACAGAGGGCTCGGGCAAGGGTCCCCCTGGCCCTCCCAAGGGGCGCTGGGGAGGAAGAGTCTGTCCAAACGGTCAGGGCGGTGGGCTGGGGACAGAGCAGACGCCGGCGTCAGGGAACTGCAGCCTCGTGGCATCCCCGTGGAGCAGAGCGGGGAACGGGAAACGAATGGGGACCTTCCAGACAGAGCTCACGGAACTCCGAGGGGCCATTTCCCAGATCCCCAGTACGTCACTGGAATAGCCCAGTTGTCCTGATCTGTAGGGAAGATCACATTGAACTTTCCAGAATGTCCTTTTCCCACCCAGCTGCTGAGCGAGGGAGACAGTGAGAGAGACAGAAACCTAAAGAGACAGTAAGATAAAGACAGACACAGAGACAGTGACACAGAGAGACAGAGAACTGAATGCATTGTCACGCCCCAGGTGGACGGCAGAGGCCGGCCCCCACACAAGTCGTGAGGGGTGCAGAGGGGCCTGGTTCTCCCCTAGTTGGTTCCCGAGTCTGGCCTCTGCAAATCCAACAGGCCCTGGATGGGCCAGCGGCTGCGGCTGACAGACCTGTCAGTAACCCAGGGGCCCTGCACCCCGAGACGGCTGCATAGCATGAGAGCTCTGGACTTGGGCGATCTCTGAGGAGCTGCCCCAGCCCCAGAGCCCCCACCGGGCAGTTGAGGCCTCTGCTGTGCCCCATCCTGGCCTTCTCCCCACGGCTGCCCCCCAACCACTCCACGACAGACACACCTCCCACGTCTGTATTGGACCCAGGTGCTGTGGAGCTCAGGGACATCTGTGGTGACCCGGTCACGTGTCTCAAGCCAGGTGACTGAAGGCAAACAGCCCACTGTTGCTGCAAACCATTTCCCTCCACCTCTAAGCTGCCCCTGGTCACTGGTGCCACTGGAGGAAGGTTCTGGGGGGTCCCAAGTTGGGTGAGGGACACAGGGTCACAGACACTGGCCTTGTGGGCACTTTGCCCCCTCTCCCCTTGTCCTGAGAACAAGCTGGTCCCATGCCTAGGGGCCGCAACGGAGAGTCAGGGCCCCCTACAGACTCAGCGCCCCTTCCGAGGACTCACGGCACCTCAAGCTTCCCAGGGCGTGGGGGTGCCAGTTTCCCGCCCGGCGAGTCCACCTTGCAGAAACCCTCAGGTGCCGTCCGGACCCTACTCAAGTCCGGGCCCCTCACTTCTGACTCTCCTGCCCCTCCTCTGCCCCCCTGGTCTCTCCCCAGGGCCCTGCTCGGGGCTGCTGGCCTTTGGGGGGAGGCACAGTGATGCTTGGGGCTGCTGGCCTTTGGGGGGAGGCACAGTGATGCTCGGGGCTGCTGGCCTTTAGGGGGAGGCACAGTGATGCTTGGGGCTGCTGGCCTTTAGGGGGAGGCACAGTGATGCTTGGGGCTGCTGGCCTTTAGGGGGAGGCACAGTGATGCTTGGGGCTGCTGGCCTTTAGGGGGAGGCACAGTGATGCTTGGGGCTGCTGACCTTTAGGGGGAGGCACAGTGATGCTTGGGGCTGCTGACCTTTGGGGGGAGGCACAGTGATGCTTGGGGCTGCTGACCTTTGGGGGGAGGCACAGTGATGCTTGGGGCTGCTGGCCTTTAGGGGGAGGCACAGTGATGCTTGGGGCTGCTGGCCTTTAGGGGGAGGCACAGTGATGCTTGGGGCTGCTGACCTTTGTAGGGAGGCACAGTGATGCTCGGGGCTGCTGGCCTTTGTAGGGAGGCACAGTGATGCTCGGGGCTGCTGGCCTTTGCGGGGAGGCACGGTGATGCTCGGGGCTGCCGACCTTCGTAGGGAGGCACGGTGTCTGGAGGATGGGCGTCTCCTCATTGGCCCTTCCATCCAGGCCCCTTGCCAAGCACAGGAGACGTGCAGAAAGCATTTATGAACTGAGGGCAGAAGTGACAGCAGCCACAGGCTCCTGCATCTCCCTTGTGCCCTGAAAGCACCTCGGTCAAGGGGTCAGGCTGGGTTCACAGCTCTCATTGGTGACCTGGGTTCAGCGGCCCCCCGGCTTTTTCTGGAAGACACAGCACAGAAAACTGATGAAGCTGGCCAGGCTCCCTCCAGAGCCCTCAGGGACGTGGGAGACCATCAAGACCAGAGGAACATAAATCTCACAGCCTTGGACACTGCCCGGCTATAAATACATTTTTCATCCTCCATTTATCACAGCTGCCTCTGATGACACCCACCTGGTGTGGGGCCGATTGACGCAGCTCCGCCCCTCAGCACCTCCCTGCAGGACTGTCCCCAATCCATCTCTGATGGCATCTGCAGACAGGAGCACAAAACTGCTGCCAACCCCCAAACGGCCACCCTGACCCCGGGCTGATGGTGCCGTCCTGGGACAGTCTCTGCCTGGGCACCGGGTCTCACACTCCAGGAACCTTCTGCTGTGAGGTCTTTGGGTCCCCTGTCCCTGTTAGCCCACGTCCCATCCCTGCTGCCACCTCTGAGACCCTCTCCCTGTTAGCCCACTTCCCATCCTGCTCCCACCAGAGGAAGTGCCTTCTAGGGGGACATTTCTGAGCCACCGACGCCACACATTTACTAGTAACCCAAGCCGTAAACCGTTTGTATCCATTTAAAGCGTTGAAAGGATAAAACCAACAACCTATAATTCTGTACCCAATTAAATTATCTTCCTAAAGTGGAGGAGAAATAATGGATAAATGGAGAAATAAGTGGATAAATGGAGAAGCGGATAATAGCAACCACATATTTGGCGATTATCGCTTATGGATAAGTAAAATGAATGACACCAAAGTTGTAAGAGATTGGAACACTCTGCCATGAGGCAATTGCACTGCCTGTGATGCGGCACCATGCTATTTAAAGTGAACCTGTATTCGCTGTAAATGTGTATTGCAAACTCTACGACAACCAATAAAAAGTAGAAAGAAAACAAGTGTAACTGATTTGCTAAGAGAGAGAAAGCGAAATCACACAAAATTCTCAATCAAAACCAGAGAAGGAAGTAAAAGGGTGGAAAACAAAAAAGAAACAGAGACTGAGGAACAGCAAACAGTAACCAACGTGGCCAATAGGAATCCAGCTATGTGGATGATCGCTTCAGAAGTCAGGGGTTGACATGCAACCATTGAAAGAGAGAGACTGGGCCGGGTGCGGTGGCTTACGCCTGTAACCCAGCACTTTGGGAAGCCGAGGCGGGAGGATCACAAGGTCAGGAGCTCGAGACCAGCCTGGCCAGTATGATGAAACCCTGTCTCTACTAAAAATAAAAAAATAAAAAATTAGCCGGGCATGGTGGTGTGTGCCTGTAGTCGCAGCTACTCGGGAGGCTGAGGCAGGAGAATCGCTTGAACCAGGGAGGCAGAGGTTGCAGTGAGCTGAGATCACACCACCGCACTCCAGCCTGGGTGACAGAAAGAGAATCCTCAGACCCATGCTCCATGCAGGGGGGATCCACCCGGCGGCCCACGGTCCGTGCACGGGGCTCCATCCACAGACTGTGCTCCAAAAGGTACATTTTGGGTATAAACAGTTTCCGTTCCAGGTTTTCCCTGGCAGGTAGGAATTCAGGCAAACATACAAGATCCCTGGCGACCTGTTGGACCAGTGTCCCGCCTGCTGCTGGAATCTCAGAAAGAATGAGTCAGGGCTCTGGGCCCCCCAAAGTCAGGGCAGGGGTGCCCCCCAGGAGCTGGAGAGGAAAAGCTGAGGGTCAGAGAATGGGCAACAGGGCATGGGGTAGGGCAGCTGGAGACAAGAGGGACAGTCAGGTCAGCCCCAGGCATCGCCCAGGAACACGGGTCCTCCCTGACAGGGAACTCAGGGACAGGTGGCTCAGGGGGCCTTCCAGGTTCTCTCAATGGGGGATGAAGCCCTCATGCCAACAAGGCTCAAGGATCCCGGAGGAGGCAGAGGCAGAAGGAGGCTCAGCTTGAGCTGCCCAGGTCTCTGGGAGGCTGCTGTCCTGTTTCAGGCTCCTCGACCCAGCAGTGTGGTCATGCTGCCCTTACAGGGAAGGGACAGGGAAATGGCACATGCAGCTGCTGGGGTACAAAAGCCCAGGCAGAGCCCAGGATGCAGAATGAATGGACAGGAGCAAGGCGTGGGGGGCCCTTGCGGTCGGCCCACCCATGACTCCAAGCCCGCGGCTCCCTGCTGTGGGACCAGCTGGGACAAAGGGAACACCGCCCACTCTGACACTCATGGAAAGGATTCGGGTCAGCCCACGGACTCCCAGTGGGCAGCGACCCCCACACCTGCCACCTGACAGAGAATCGGCTGCTTAAGTCTCCAGGATAGGAGGCAGCTGGGTCATAAATTGGCTTCTCACTTTCGGGGACCCTAAGTGTAGCATTTCCTTTAACTTGAGGCAAACCCTTTGTCCCAGAACATCTTTGTTCCTATTTCCCCGCCCCCCTGACTGCACCGGACACCCCCTGAAACCAGAGCATCCCCTCGAGCACTGCCAGGTGATGCTGAGTCCTCCTCAGTCCTCCAGCCCTTGCCTTCTGTGGGAACACCCACCGTCACCGCCTTCCAGGGCGGCCGCTGTCATCTGTGCTCACAGCTCCCACCGTCACCGCCTTCCAGGGCGGCCGCTGTCATCTGTGCTCACAGCTCCCATGCTCATCCTCGCTCAGCAAATTGCAATCAGCTCTGACAATGGCCTAGTTAAGGGCACCCACCCAGCGACGCCCCTGCTATGCAGACAGGAAGCATCGTCGCCAACTGGACAGATCGCTGCCAGAAACAACTGGGTGTGTTTGGGGGACGCCTCCTAATTGAGCTGACACACCCAGGAATCAGGGTGGTGGAGGCCGCCCCGCCTTCCAGGCCTCCTAATTAGGACTGAATGCTCCGTTTTCTCTGCACGCAGGCGGGGGTCATGGGTCAAGCACTGAGACTTACTCTGTAATTCGAGTTAATGAAGGAATCCCAGGGGCAGCTCTGTGGATGCATCCAGGAGGCACGCGGCCTCTGGCGGAGCCTGACAGCTGTGGGTGGACAGCAGCGAGCATGCCTTTAATTGCTGCCAAATTTTAGTCCTAGGTCTTAATGACAGCAGCCTTGGCTCCAGAGTGTGAGGCTCTCTGGGAGAGTCAGGGGCTCCATGTGGGGGGCTCCGCTGTGTGAGTGGGAGGAGCACAGAGCAAGATGGTGGGCAGTGGCTGGGGGTCCCAGAGCTGCACCCAGACCCAGCAATGCCTCCTGGGCTGGACCAGAGGCTGCTGTGTGTGGTCCCTGTTCACTGAGCCTGCAGGAGGCAGAGAATGGGGAGAGTCCATGCTCCTCTCAGACCCCGTCACAGAACAAACAGCACTGCGCTGGAGCAGGGAGGCTGGGGTGCAGGGCTAGGCTGGAGCAGGGAGGCTGGGGTGCAGGGCTGGGCTGGAGCAGGGAGGCTGGGGTGCAGGGCTGGGCTGGAGCAGGGAGGCTGGGGTGCAGGGCTGGCCAGCGTCAGAACATGTATGGGCCTCAGCCCTGGCAGGTGGAGGCGTGGGCTCCCTGCTGGGCCACTCAGATGGATCTGCTGTTTTCTCATGAGCTCATCCCTTCTGGGCTGTGAGGCCCACGGGCAGGGCTTTAATCCCCTATGTGCTGTTTCCAGAGCCTTCTCCCTGGTGTGGCTCCAGGCAGCCTCTCCAACCCCTTAGATTCTGCTGGACACACATATGGCCCTTGAGCCACAGACGGTGGTGATGCCTGCGGCCCCTGTCTGCCCACAGCACAGGTGCTGGCCAGGCCTCATCCCTGCTTCAGTCCCCAGAGGAGACCTCGAGCCGCAGACCAGTCCCTGTCCCTTCAGAGTGGGGTTAGTTCTGCAGTTCCCCTGCCTACAGCCCCAGTCCACAGAAACATCCACCACAAGCCTTGGTAATCACGCCTGGTGCCCGATGGAGACCAGCAGCTCTGAGCTCCCGGGAAAGTGGCTGGGGCCTGGGCCCTGTTCCCAGGAAGCCCAGCACGGCTCCATGCCCCACAGCCTGGAGGGGTAGGAGGGGAGTCTGCGTCAGGATGGCTGCACCCTTGGCCCTTGGGGAGGAGCCCCCCACTACCACACCTGGCAAGACTAGAAAGAGGCCTGGGTGTGGGGGGAGTAGTTCAGGGAACCAAGCTCTGCACAGACTCAGCAGGAGGATTTGGAATCGGAGCTGGGGCGTGGGGACGCTGGACAGATACCAGGGGAATCTACATACCCAGGAGAAGGGCCCAGAATGAGCAGGTGCCGGGACAGTCAAGAGCAGCCCTGGGAGGCGAGGTCACAGAGGCGGGTGACAATGCGGGCCCTGAGCACTCTGCTTTTCCCTGGATGGGGTCTGGGTTCCATGAAGATGCCTATCCCAGGCCTCTGCAGCAGCGGCACGGGCAGAGCTGCCTCCCTCCAGTGAGGAGCGGGCAGGTGCCACAGGGGCTCCAGCTCCCACAAGGGGCTGCCCCATGGGCTCTGAGGAGCTACAGGCTCCTTCCCAGAGAGAAGCCCAGGAGTCAGCAGCTAATCCTCCCTCTTCCTCTGGAGCCCCCAGGGAAGGCAGGAGCGAGTGTGCCCCTCCACAACCCCATGCTCTATACAGACCCCTGTGGGGAAGGAATCCGGCCTCATCTGCAGCTCCACCCCAGCCCCAGGGTGGATCTGAGCTGGGACCAGCCCCTCTGAGGGGTTCACCCTGAGCACCCTCCTTGGCAAGGCAAGTGTTTGGGACGCATCCTTCTGGGGAAACAGCGCTATGCTCCTTTCTCTGTTTCTCTAAAGATTTGAACTGAGGCCAGTTGCTCTGCCTGTGGGTATGACGCTTCAGACAGCACCTGGCTCTGAGGACAGAGGCCCTGGGCCCAACCCACATGGACCCATCTTCTCTTGAAGATCTGGGCTAACTGGGAAGCAAAAATAATTACTCTTGTGCCAAAATGTCCTTGTAATTAGCAGTTTTGGGACATAAATGAATTGAAATACATGATTTTTCAGGGTCCAGCCGGCTTCAGGACTGAACTCCAGTGTGTGTGTTTCAGGGCATGCGGGGTGCAGGTGTTTTGGGGCACATGCGTGTGTTTCAGGGCACGCAGGATGCAGGTGTTTTGGGGCACATGCGTGTTTCAGGGCACATGGGGTGCAGGTGTTTTGGGGCACATGCGTGTTTCAGGGCGTGTGGGGTGCAGGTATTCTGGGGCACGCGCATGTGTGTTTCAGGGCATGCGGGTGCAGGTATTTTGGGGAATACGTGTGTTTCAGGGCATGTGGGGTGCCGGTGTTTGGGGACACACGTGTGTGTTTCAGGGCACACGGGGTGCAGGTGTTTCGGGGCACATGCGTGTTTTAGGGCACGCGGGGTGCAGGCATTTCGGGGCACACACGTGTGTTTCAGGGCTTCCAGCCGATTCTGCCCCTCCCTCCATTCACGGCACCGGCAGGCGCGGCAGGCCGTGGGGAGGGCGTGCGTCTCGGTCTCGGTCCTCCCGCTCTGTGTCCAGTCTGGGCAGTGTCTCAAGACCACCCTGCGCGAGGCCTGCGCTGCGGCGCCCCCGTCCCTCTGCGGCGCCCGCGTCCCTCTGCTCCGCGCAAGGCCGGGGATCCGGCTCTCCCGGAGCGAGCGCGTCCTGCAGGGACCCGCGGCCAAGCAGCAGCCGGGGCCGGGGCCCGAGGCGCCGATGACGGCTCCTGTTCGGAAGACACTGGCTCCCTGGTTTATGTATTTACTTAATTTTAAGTTAGGCTCCCCAGATCCCTAAGTCAACAGTGGATTCTGTAAATCGTGGCGTAAGAGGAAAATCGGATCCTGCCGATCGCAGGAAGCGCCGTCGCCGTGAAAGGCGGTGACTCAGCGCCACCTGCCGGGACGCGGCGGCCAAGCGAGCGGGTGTCGGGGAGGCCTGAGGCCGCGGGTCCTCGGGAGGAAACAGCTGTTTGCAGGAACAAAGGAGGGAACCAGGGTCGTGGCAGTTTGGAGAATTCTTCCACGAAATACATGAAATTCGCTGGAATCATTTCAAGGAAAAAATCTTCCTCCAAATAGGGGCTCCTGCGTGTAGCAGAAGCGGGTTTCATTGCCATTGAGCAGGGCCTGGGGTCTGTGGGGCTGTTTTCAGACCCAGAGGGAACCAGTCCAGGGCACACAAGAGCTCCTGGGCAGAGGCGTCCTCCAGGGTCTGGAGTCCCCGCTGGAGCTGCCGAGCTGCGTCACACCTGCTGGGTTGGAAGCCTCCACTCAGCCGGAGAAACACAATCCCTGGCTCTGGTGTTTGTGGCAGTAAAATCTCCATCCCTGCGAAGCCCCTGGGCCCAGGCTGGGCCTTGCAAGAGGCCTCCCTTTGCTGGAGGAAGCCCCGGGCCCTCGGGGACCCTGCAGGAGGCAGACGCTGGGGACAGGGTCCGGCCCACAGGCAGCTGCGTCCCTCCCCAGTCCTGGCATCTCTGCTTCCTCTGCTCTTTCTGATACCCCCACCCGCTCCCACTGCCCAGCGGTGGAAACAGGTGGAGACAGCGCTCGGCCCTCAGAACCAGTGAAAGGGTCTGGACCCTGGGAACGCACCGAGGACTGCCCAGGATCTCAGAAAAGGACGACATCCTTTCCTTCCTTCGTTCGTTTTTCAAGTTGTTGTTGTTGCTGTTGTTTTGAGACGGAGTCTGGCTCTGTCACCCAGTTTCAAGCGATTCTCCTGCCTCAGCCTCCTGAGTAACTGGGACTACAAGCGCCCGCCACCACGCCCGGCCAATTTTTGTATTTTTAGTAGAGACAGGGTTTCACCGTGTTAGCCAGTCTGGTCTCAAACTCCTGACCTCAAGTGACCCGCCCGCCTCGGCCTCCCACAGTGCTGGGATTATAGGCATGAGCCACTGCACCCGGCTGTGTTTTTTTGTTGCCAAAAATGTTGATGGCAGCTCAGTTGCCCCCCATTTCAATAAATGCCCCCTGAAACCTGTGTGAAGTCACATCAGGATGTGGATAACATGGCTTCATAAAGAGCGCCCTGTGGGGTCTCAAAGGATGCGTCAGACGCTGGTCACTGGAAATGATGGAAAAACATTCAGGCGTTTCCCATTCATGCTTCATCCACCCTCCACCCAACCCTCCACTCCCCTTTCACCCCGCTATGCAACTCTCTCTCCATCCACTCCCCATCCACCCTCTACCCACCCCCATCTGCCCCCATCCATCTCTCTCCATCCACTCCCCATCCACCCACTGCCACCCACCCCCATTCACCCTCCATCCATCTCTCTCTTCATCCACCCCTCCACCCACCCCCCACCCACCCCACCCAAACCCCATCCATTTTTCTCTCCATCCACCCTTATACCTGCCACCCACCCACCCACCATCAATCCCCCATCCACCATCCATCTCTCCCTATTCATCCACCCCTCCACCCACACCCATCCATCCCCCATCCATTTCTGTCTCTCCATCCATCTCTTCCTGGCCATCCATCTCTCTCTCCATCCATGTCTCTCTTCATCCATCTCTCCATCTGTCTCTCTCTCTCCATCCATCTCTCTCCATCCCTCTCTCTCCATCCATCTCTCTCCCCATCCATTTCTCTCTATCCATCTCTCTATCTCCATCCATCTCTCTCTCTCTCCATCCATCTCTCTTCATCCATCTCTCTCCAACCATGTTTCTTTCCATCCATCTCTCTCTCCATCCATTTCTCTCTCACCATCCATTTCTCTCTTTATCCATCTCTCTCTCCATCCATATCTCTTTCCATCCATCTCTCTCTCC